CTGTTGGCCCCAGCAGGGTTGATCCGCGACTCCCAGATCAGCTATCAGTCCCGGCTTCTTTATTCGCGTGGTTTGGTTCCAGAACGGGTACTCGGTTTCCTTGTTGGTCGTCGCCTCCGCGCTGGGCCCTTGACTACTCCAAAGTCAAAGAATGAAAAACTCAGCGCTGCAGATGCCCTCACCGAAGAGCTTCCCTCGCAAACCGCAGGCAATGTGCAGTTATTGTCTCGGGCCTATCCACATGTCACGGTTCCCAATGCCGTTTCTTGGCAAGTGAACAACCATGCCGGATTTGTTCATGCATTTATGTCTAGTATGCGCTTTGGCCCGATCCTGCAGCAGCGACAGTGGGACACCTGGACACGCCTTGGCGAGTACCTGGCAGCACAGAAAGGACTTCCAAAGGAAGAGCAATTGACAAATGGCCTTCCAAGTGACAAAGTCCTCATCATGTGCGGCATCTATGATTCCATCATCGTGAAAGATGAGCTTGTGCCCGATGCCACTTTGGCCCTCCAGGGAAATGTTGATTTTGAGTACTACAACGCAGGCCATGAGTTTCCCAGCACCCTGTACGACAAGGTAGCACAACGGATAGTGAAGCTCTTACATTGAGAGAAGTCTATTGAACTTGGTTATGACACAAATCAAGGGCGGGGAAAAAAAAAAGAACTGCCCCTGAGTTTCGGGGCCTAGTCTTGATGAAATGTACGCTAATAGGACAATCATAGACTTTGTATATAGAACATCATTCTGACAATCCTTTGGACGAATTTTTCTCCAGGGTCCCACCACTCCCCAAATTTGGAGTGAAGAGATATCCCCCTGAACTTTCCTCCACCTTCATTTTCGCAATATTTCTTCTGTTGCGTCAAGTTGACTGCTCAAACGTGAAACGTGAGCTGACCGATCTTGCATGCGGGCACGAGCAAAGTAAGGCTCATCAGCAAAAGCTGACTGTGAGAATCGGTCGACCACGCCGTTGCTCGCGTCTGGAATATGGCTCAACTTCCCGGCACTTAGGCCGCTGCTCTCGCCGTTGGTCATCCTGAAATGAAGCCACACGTGAGTCCTCTGTGGTGAATATGTGTGCACAAGAATGGGGCTTACTTTGTGGACTTTGTTGCAGAAGGCATTGTCACTATGAGGTACAATTCTGTTCGCCTTCAAGTCGAAGTGCTGGGAAGTTGAAGTTGCTTCGGGCAAGCGAGTGAGCCGAGATAATCTATCCAGTTGCTGAAGTGTGGCAGAAGGACAGGCTGACGATATACACTCGAGATATGATGTTCAAGATGTGGATTGTGGGAGTGTATCTGCAATGACAGTGGGTGAAGTCGCTTTTTGTTTCTGCTTTTATGCTTACTGGTTCTGAAAACTGGTGAGTAACAGCAAGACAGGCATGTCCATCCTCTAAATACCCAAGGATGATCGCCGGAGCAGATGGAACAGTCAGGGAATTTTGATGATGGAATACAAAAATAGCTGACCCGCTCCACAGTCTCGAGGGCACTTGTAAATGACAAGGATAAGATTGAACGGGGCTAGAAAAAGGAATGGCATCGAGGGAGAAACCGGAATGATCGAGATCTTCAGCCTGCAAGACAGCATGGACGATGACATCGACATGGGCCTAGTGCACATTCACCGTTGTGTTCTGTCGCATGGACTGCCGAGAACGGCTCTAGATCAGCAACCGGCCCAACAGTCGTGAGATGAAGAGCGAAGGGATCTATTCCGTGGCTACTCGACACCCTATTCTCTTCTCGACGCAGAGTCCACGAAGGATCATCATCAAATGTCTTGATCACCAAAAACGGTCTACCATCCGTAGGTACCGACTGGGCTTGGGCCAAGGGATGGCCTCGGAGTGGAGTTGGATCTCATCACTTAAGGGTCTAGTCCGCGTCTCTTGAACAGGAGTTCATTTACCACCGGATCGACTTCCTTGGGGGGGATTCTGATAAGCGGACGTGGCGTACGTCGGGAAGATTGGCCGAGCAGTGCCCTATGGGCCCGTCCCCCTGGTACGCTACGGCGTCCGACAGGTAGTTTCTTTTTTCGACTCCCACCATTATTTCTCGTTCATTGGAAGTGGACTGTGTGTATGATTGGACGAAAACTAGGCTGAAACACCAGGTCTTCTGTCACAAGTCTAGACCTTAGACCAGTAGCATGGCCGATGGCATGCAACTTTCTTGGCAGTCATTCAGCTGCCAAATGCAGACCTGCACCCTGTCATACTGTGCAGCACATCCCGAGCTAGGGGCATGATTGGCAGGCCTGAATAGGGAGTCGAGATCGAGGACGAGCCGTTGCGAGGACGATCGGTTGGAGCTTCAGACAGGCGTGGTTCGCGTGGACAAACGTGGTTGCTGGTATGGACGATCAACGCACAGTCCCAAGGAAATCTGAAGCAGGAATTACAACCTGCCAGTCAGCAACCTACATGCTTTTGTGGCTGTATGTTTTCTTTTCTTTTCTCGGTCACCTCCTTGCTTCCTCGTCTCCTCTTTGAGTGGCGATCGGCGATCGGCGAACAGCCCCCTTTGTCAACGTTCCTGAGTGACAATTCACGGAGCAATGCAAGAAGTGCATCATTTGTGTGTTAAGCTATGTGCATATGCAGGTTACCATGCAGCTGTGCTTCTTCTCGTGCTGTTCTAACGGCTGCGAGTGTCAAAATTCTCTGTGCAGTCATCGGACAATTGACATTCCAGGCCGGCCGTCTCTAACAAGAGGCCATGGCTGAACAACTACCTTATGGTTCCTCACACCTACCTAGTGCTCGCATGAAGTTGGGCTCTACCTTGGGAATCATTGGCGAATCTGCTGCGGGGATGTGTCAACCATCCGCATGCTTGGGTCGTCGTACTTCAGACATACTGACGCCCAAAATAGAGTTCAGCTATGCTCCTTTAATTTCAGACTGAGAGTAATATGATTTGGGCTCAGGAAAATGAAAAAAATAGAACGCGAAGCCTCGCTCATTGGGTAATCCTGCCAGAAGCATCATCGCTGAGAAGTGCGATGCGCGTGACATATGGAAAGGGACGAGTTGTCGAAGGGGGAAAAAGCAATTATTCATTTACGCCCGGTGACTTTCTGCCGATTAGGGGCTGGGCCGTTCAAGATCGGGGACGAAAAATGACCTTTACGACACGTCTCAAGCAATTAAGAGACAGCTGAGGTTTCACACGGTACATCTCAATTTTAGCCGGAAATGCGAAGCCGTCCGAACCTCGATACGCCTTGATTGGTGATGCCCGTGAACTACCCTCACTCTTGGCACCGGTTGTTACCAGAGTGTCGGGTGCGTCCAGTCTTACTCTTGCGCAGAGCTTCGAGGCTTTGAGACCAAGGTTTGGGTGTTGTCAGGGGTTGATGGACAAGCCTATGAAGCGAAGTCCGCGGGCCTGGGTGCTTGCTGGGTAAAATCATGATGCAACTCGGGCAGCTTTCCAACCCAGCCAAACCCGAAGTGAAACCCTCATTGGCACTGGCAGACTTGCAATGGATGTAAAGGCTCGACCAAGGAGACGTCCATTCACGAATTGGGCAAAAATTGACGACACCTAAGAGCAACTACTCCGTACTCGGTACTGCGGCGCAGACCAAACCAGATGATCGACTTGAGAGCAGTTCATGATTGCTCATCAGGCGATATGTATCAAGTATACCGTAGCCTTGAATCAAAACAAGATGGGCCGGAGTGATATTACTCGCGTCAAGGCCCATGGCTGCCCGGTTCAACGCTTCAGGGACCTTCTCGGGAGATCACTGTCTTTGCGCAAGCCAAGGCCAGGAAATCTGACTTATTTTTAACAGCTTTCTACGTCAAGCTCAGCGCATATAGGCAGACTCAAAAGTCTATTCTGTAGTGGGGCCTTCTGAAGTGCACTGACGACAAGGACTTCTACCGTTGTACGGGGTATGATTCCATCATTCCCCATCCCCCGTGGATGGCATGAAACATAGCCAAGCCTCACTGGAGGCCTGTGCTGACGGCAGACTGCAGAGCACATGGTTGCAAGGGAGAATGGACAACCCTCCCTTGCTGAAAAGCATGACAGGTCACCTTACCAGTGTCAATCAAATGAAAGCAAAGGCCGTTATCGTCACTACCCAATCGAGACAAAACAGGCGGAATTGGCGAACTCCACGACTAGACACGCAGATCTTGCTCAGATTGGTCCACTTTTTGGGTGTTTCATCGCTTCGCTCTGAAACTATCTCAAATAGTTGCTTTTCCTTCTCGTTGCCGGCGCAACTATTTTGATAAAGCCCCTTGCACCACACCATCTTCAGCAGCAACTTCACCCTTAACCGAGAGATGAAACGAGCTGTTTGAACTTGAGCCAAGATCGACAACACCGAATGAACCCTTGAGTACGGAGTACCTAGGGGCTATCTATCTACAGTGCTCAGAGAAGCCTACCAAGCTTGTAGCTACAACCTTTCAAGCCTTCGACCCCACAATACCAAACGGCTGTGGTATGCCTTGAAATCGCTGCTAATCCCGGTAAGGATCGGCGTCGCTCAATACGGCTAAGACGACACAGTATTGACTAGCGAGTCATGTTAAATGAAACTGATGGCATGGATTTATCCTAAGCATTTTTTGTCGTGTGGACTTGTTCCATACGCTATTTCGAAGATCGAGCAGACAAGACAATGGCCTTGGTGTTACACAAAGGAAATTGGCCGCGTAGACTTATCTTCTCTGCTGCCATTTCACAACCTCCTTTTTCGGCTCGTATCCTGTTACTCCTTTCCTCTTCAAGATAGGTTGGAGGAATGATACGCTAGAAAATGCGCACCCTATCAGTGTACTCTGAGATTTGCTGAAGTCACGTCCCAAGAGCCGCAAATCCTAGCGCCGAAATGGCCATTCTCTCTATCGAAGAGTTGCTGCCTGACAAGGCATTTTTTTCGATTTACTTTTTGCTTTTTGTGGCCTTGCCCCCATTGAGTCTACTTGCACGGGGCAGTACGCGATATCCTCAAGAGACGTCCCACGCGCCTAGAGGGTCCTCGCCGCCAGAATGAGTTCGAAGACTCTGAAGGGTTTTCACCCTCTTCACTAGAGACCCGACACAAATGGGGCCAATGAAAGTGCAGAGGGTGATCGCCCAGATGACCACCAGATAGATCTCAGAGTCTACATCTTGGCTACTGGTTACGGGAGATGAGGATGAATGAGGGGTGAATATCCCATCCGCCTCAGCCAACGATGCGATGAGGTAGCCAATCTCGCCTCGCGCCACCATAGCCAAACCCAAAATCGACGCCGGATACAATGAGCGGGGCTTGGGAGGAAGCTGTGGGCTGCTGATTTGTGCCACAGGAGGACAAAGCTCTTCTTGTGGCGAGTCAGTTCCCGCTGCTGCCGCCGGGAGTTGAGAGTCCTGCTTGCGCGAGTTTGATTCAGAGGATTGGTTTGCTTCCCTCTTTGGTCCATCGCTCCTTTGTGTCTGTCCTTGCGCTGGGGCATGTGAGGAGTCACTGTCCGGCTGAGATCGGGTCTTGCATGACTTGACCGCGCTCACAGTGGCAAACGCCAGTAGAGCCTTCTTCGCCTTGTTCAACAGCTTCGACCCCGGTAAAGTCAACCGAATCAGCCAGAATCCGGTCACTAGCTTGCCAAAAGCCATGAGAAGTGTATAAACTACGCCTCGCCAGACTACCCTCCCTTCAAACATTTTCGTGATTGGGATGGAAAATCCTATCGAAGCCTGGAGGGCGAGTCAGAACGGAACTTTGAGAAGATAGATGTAGAAAATTATGGAAACCTACAAAGAAGAGTGGGCTCAGAATCCGCTTCAGAGGCTCTTTGCAGAAAGTTTCGAAAACAAGTTCTCCAGTTGATCGCTCGAAACGCATAGTCCTTTCCGTATGTGCGGGCGCTTCGGTAGATTCAGCTTCTCTGCGACTTTTTTGTGCATGATTTTTGTCACGAGTCAGTCCGGTTTGCATTTCAATGCTCCCCGGTCGATGTTCGCGCTGGTCATCGGCTGGAATTTCGGCCTCTGGCTGCTTTTCATGAGTGGCCAACATCTCATCAAGCCAAGAAATAGTAGCCCCAGCCAAGTATGCAGCGAAGAGTCCCGATGTACCGGCGTACTGTGCGCCGGTGACCAGTCCAATGAGATAGAGCATGTGGACAACGAATGCGACATTCAGTGACCTCATGCAAGCAGGGACCCGAATCTCGTGCACCTGAAGTTTGCGCACAACCACCGCAACAACAAACCGACAAATGAGAAGAAGCCCCAAAGCAAACCCAAAGGCAACAAGGATGGGTCTGATCACGACCACTGGGTCGAAGGACGATCCCTGACTCGCGCCACCCAGATTCGAGATGATTTGAACCATCACCAAGCCCGCGACATCGTCCATCATCGCTGCGCTGCCCAGGACGACACCCAACTGGGTCTTTGCCAATCCCGTCGTAGACAGGATGGTGAATGTCGTTCCGATACTGGTTGAGCAGAGGGACGCACCAGCGGCAAATGCTTGAAGAGGAGTCGCTGATAGCAGGCTCATCAGGACGAAGGATAGACCCATAGGCACACCTACCCCGGTGATCGCCACCACAGAGGACAGAACGAAGTTTGATTTCAATTGGGAGAATGATGTTGAAAGGCCACCTGTTGAAACAAGCTCGTCAAAATAACGGCATCAGCCGATCCTTCTGCAGTCAACTTACCCTCGTACACCAAAAGAAGCAACCCGAGATATCCCAGCTGCTGAATGGCTTTCTGAACGCCTGGTTCTATCCAATTGGCTCCGGGGACTCCCCATGCCATCCCAATAAGAAGCTGCCCAATGAGCCCGCAGTAGATCAGCTTATCAAGTAGAGCGTTCACCCAGTTGAGAGCAAGAAGAAAGCTACTTAGGATCAGAATAGTTTGAATCCCTGGCTCATGATAAGCCAATGCATCTTGCGAGGCCACCATGGTGTCTTATATCAGGCTGAGCTGATATCTCGGCAGGTGAACTTGTCAGCCGCAGATATAATATATATATTCATCCAATAAATCCTAGTCAATGCCACCTTTGACAAATGTGAGCTCTGCGGCTCTAGCTATAGGCTCGTATGGCAATCTCACCCTCCGAGATTAATCAAACTGAAGCCATTGTAGATATTTGATGATTCAACCAGCCTTATAGTCACTCCGCGTCTGATAGAGTTACGTTACCAGAAACGAAGTGCTTGAAATCCGACAACTGCTTTGCGAAGAGTTGACGCCAAACGAGAGTATGGGACCAACGTACTCCCTGGCAATCGTCACACGGTGATGCAGGTATTTTTGAAGATCAAACTTGAGAGACTTGAACGGATACAAGACATGCGCTCTCTTGGCCGTATGAATAAAATTGTGATGCCTCAGGCTTCAATCACGTGATATACCCGTTCAGGTAATCCCTCACTATCTGCCAAACAACATCATCGCCATCATTCTTGCAGTCATATCATGTCTACAAGTCCCGGACTTTTCAGGTTCATCTTTACCTTGGGACAAGCTCTTGATTGAATGACAATGCTATGAAAACTGCAAGCTCATCGACCGCTGTCAATAATGGTTCTGTTCTTGCTGCGGGGTTGTGCTTTCGTCTTTCAATGGTAGAAGTATATGTAGACCAAATCGATCTACATTGTCTTCGCTAAAGCGGCGTCTGTCTATCTCCAGGTATTACAAACTAGGTACCATCCGCGCGCTCTCAAATGTATCAGGGCTTCATGCTGACTTGTCGTAGGACGGATGAGGACATCCTTTGTCAAGGATGGAAACTCAAGCTTCTCTTAGCAGCATCCAAAGAGCTGTATGGGATGGAAAGCTCCCGTTGCAGATAACGCTTGCTTCGTCGGAGAGTCGAACCTATGACCAGACTGATCCCTATATTGTAATGATACCTCCTCGGCAAGCACTAATCCACATCATGTGCACGAAGCTAACGTAGGTTTAGATCGCTTGTCCGCGAATCTCGTATCTCCCATCATTACTGCCCAGGTTAAGGGCCTTCTTCTCACCATCACTGATTGAACCCAACTCGCAACCCCATGAGGGCTGGTTCTCCTTTGAAGGAGTCCCGCTGAAATGGCATCTCCCCGTCGGACTGCTGTATGACCTTTACGCGGGCGCAGACCCAGCGTCCAAGGGAACAAGGATTGATGAAACAGACCATCCCACCAGCAGCCTGAGCGATACGCTTCCCTGGCGGCTGACGGTGCATTTCAGCGACTGGCCCGACGAAGAGCTCGTCCGACTCGACGCAGACGGCATGGTCATGCACGACGCGTTCATCAACAGCGTCAAGGAGGCGGATTTTCTACGTAACGGTACCGCAAAGGGTATCATGACTCTCTCCAAAGAGGACTCGGCCGGATTATGGCAGGCCGTGCAAGATGGTATTTCACAGCATTTATCATACCCTATCTGCGCTTCAGTATGTTGACGATAAGTAGTGGATCTCCCCTCCTTTCAACGCATTTCGAATATCCTCCTCCCCCCGCCGAATCAACCATTCCGCAACGTCCCGATCCGGTTTTTCCTACCCCTATCCCCGGACTCGGGCTCCCCATCTCTTAAGATCGTGCAATCTCCACTGCCGCCTAGTATATCAGCCACAACGAATACAGGTCAATCGACCAATCTACGAAATAGCCCCCCCTCGCAAGTCCAAACGATAGGCTCCGCGTTGCACTGGCTACTTCCCAACCTCTTTCCTAGCCGGAGGACTCCTGTCCTGGCGAAACCGGTTCTGCACGGCGCGGCGGTGCCAATGTCTGCTCCAATCGAGGAGCTAGTAAGGTGTTGCGCATATGGGGATGGATGGGCCTATATCGTTATTAGAATGATGGGATGATTATGGGTTTGTTATTCCGAATGGTTACTCTAGCTAGATTGCATCTCCAATAATAATAGAGCATTTCTTGCATATTGAAACATACTACATCGTTATTGATATACATGTCAAAAGATGAAGTATCCGCCTTACAAAAATAAAAGCGAAATAGTAATCATTCTGGGTGATAAAAAAGTAAACAAAAATTATGCACCGACGCGGGATCGAACCGCGGACCTTTCCATAGGTCGTACACCATACGAGTGGAACGCTCTACCACTGAGCTATAGGTGCAATTCGTTACAGTGGGGCTTTGTTCTTCAATCTATCATGCTATTTTTCATTTACTGAAACACTTCCGTGCTGATTATCCTCTGCCAGATGTGCAGATTCACTACAACAAATGGACACGAACGAAACGTAGGCCGTATGCGCTACGAGGACTATGTACTTTAGGCAACTTTATGTCAAAAATGTTCCTTGCATATGCTATCGTCGATTCTTTATGCAGGCTCGATGAACTATATATGCGTGCATGACATGGGTATCATAATCGACGCAAGCGAACAGATCAACCGCCGCTTGGATGCACTTGACGCTCGCTAAATGAGAACAACCAAAGAGCACAAAGTCATACATGGGGGAAAAGAATAAAAAAGAGGAAAAGCGCTAAACTAGGATATACGGCTGGTCGCTCCCAACGAGCGTCGACTCTCCCGTCTCATCCTCCGAAAACTCACCATTCAGATCCTCCTCTATGATGGTGTCGGCGCTGTCTCGTCGCTTGGCCTCGAGTACCGGACGCAGGTGACCATGCTTGTCAAACCAAAGAACACCAAAGGGGTTCTTGCGTGCCAAGTCCAGGGCGGTGTTGCCGGCCGCCGAGCCATGTCCGTTAACCGCTTTCGCACTATCTGGCGCCTCCAAGGAAGTGTCAGCGCCTGCGTCTAGCAGGACTCTGAAGATTGATTCTCGCCCGCGTTCGGCGGCGAGGTGGAGTGCTGTTTTCCCTTCGTTAGTCATGGCGTTGATATCAGCGCCGAGCTTTAAGAGCAACGACACGAGAGACGTGCTCGGAGTGATGGCCAGGACTGCCAGATGAAGAGCGGTCTCGGTGGAAGCTGAAACAGAGCGCGAGTTGATATCGGCTCCGTGGCTCACAAGAAGATTGATATAGTCCGACGTCTTGTCGAAGGCAAGGTCGGAAACGCCTGTGCCTACATAAACTGCCTGGTGTAGCGGCATCCAGCCCTGACTAGAGATCGCCCCCACGTCGACACCATGGTCAAGAGCTATCCTGAGGATTTCGAGACAGTCTTGGTCAAGGGGCGGAGTGATGTGCAACAGAGTCTCGCCTTTTGCAGTCTCCACGTCGATCTTGGCTCCTTTTGCCAGCAGGAACTTGAACATATTGAGATTTCCGGACATGGCAGCACATTGGAGCGGTGTATAGCCTTGTGAAGTACGAGCTTCGATGTTTGCTCCTTGGGCGAGTAGTTTCGCGGCAGTTGACACATTGGAGGACTTTCTCGCTTCTTCATGAAGCAGGGTTTCACCTTTTTTATTCCACGAGTTGATGTTTGCTCCGCCAATGAGCAATAGATCAAATGCGATCCAGTGACCTTCATGGGCTGCAAGCTGTAATGCTGTGAACCCAGAGAGACACCGAGCTTCTACCTGGGCCCCGCGCTGAAGGAGCAACGCGATTGCTTCACAATTGTCCATCTTTGCGGCTAGCTGTAGAGGTGTGAATCCATCTTCGTTCGTCATGTCAATCGTCGCGCCTCTATCAAGGAGAAAAAGAATGATTCGAGGCCTTCTCCATTCCACAGCAAGATGGAGAGCCGTGTCTCCAGTGCGAATATTCCGTATGTCCACGTCAACCTTGTTCTTGACGAGTAGTGGAACTGTCGCTTCATCGGTGGCGGTCCCAACGGCCAGCTGCAGTCCAGTTGCGCCTTGTTTGTTGGCTATTTGTGAATTAACATGGCGTGAAAGCAACAATTTCATTGCCTTTCTTTGCCCGTATTCTGTGGCTAGGTGCAACGCCGTGCTACCATCCCCGGTGACTGCATTCCCCTCGGCACCATTATCAAGCAGAAAGTCGACCATTTCATCATTGCCTCGGTAGGCCGCGCAATGGAGCGGTGTGATTCTTAGCGAGTTGTCGTTGGCGTCAACATGAGCGCCTTGCACCAACAGGCGCTTAAATTTTCCGGAAATACCAAAGAAGGCGAGGATATGTAGCGCGCTCCAGTCATCGGGGTATTTTCCAAGGCCAAGCTCAGCCGGCAACCTCTTGTCCCTGATCAAGCCCATAACAGGGGGCCGCCTCCAAAGTAGCTTATTGAGGAATGTCTTGATCAAGACCTGGATTGCCTGTTCATCCTCTGCTACCTCTCGCGCATGATAGCCCCAGTATGTGGCAGCGTAGCTAAGGAAGCCGCCACTTGAGCTACGAGGTGTCGTCCCTCCGGTATAGTAGCAGTCGTCGACAACTTCATCCGGAATGATGGCCGTCAGGCAGACTTCCGCAATGTCTCTCTGAGCGAATGGGAAGAAAACTCGAGCCGCTGTTCCATTCAAGTATTCCTTTGCAGTCTTATGTACGAAGCGAACGCTGCCCGTCACGGCATCCACGGTAAGAAGTCCCGCGCTTTGGGTCTGCAAAGACTGCTCAAAGCTGACAGTTTCGTCCTTGTCTGCACTGGCAGTGTTGCCTTGCGTGGCAGTCTGGAGTTCCGCAACGGAAAGTGGCCTCAAGGCATACAATGTCCAGTATACGTGGCGAGTGGCGGTTGGATTCTGGCTCACTACCTGTTTCATCGCCTCTCCATATGCCTCGCTCAAGCTCTCCGGTAGGTGCATAAGAGCTCTTTCAAGCAGACTTTTATCGGTATAGCGAGAGAGTAGGTCCAGATGTATTTTTGCTAAGAGGAAACTGCATGAATACCATGATCAGCCAAAAGAATTGCTATGCTCAATCAATCAATCACTCATATCGACCACTTACATATCACGACTTTTTTCCATTACTGAGCGGACGACGTCTCGTCGCAGTTGAACACCAGCAGGCTCGTCATTACAGAGGTTCTTAAGTGCAGCATCGTTTTGTATTCGAGAAAGTGTATAGAGTCGGAGATCGTCCGGCGATGGCACTATGCTCACGTATGCCGAATCTTTGTCTATCTGGTTAGCCTCCCGCAAGGTAACCAGGAGCTGAGCTTGGTCGGGAAGCTTCTGAAGCCTTGTTAGAATACGCTCCTTATCCGAAAATCCATCCAGACCATCAACGATGAAGAAGACTTTTGAGAATCGGTTCACTTCGGCGCGGATGGCATTCTGATAAGCTTTGGGCGATGCTCTCCCTTTGGTCACGGACTCGGAGTAATAGAGATCTGACGTTGCGTAGGAAAGACTGCGTTTGCGATAGACGAGTTGCGCAAGGATGTTTTGGAGCAGACCCATGGAACTTTGTTCCTTCTCTTTCTCGTCTTGACAAAATATGAACACAGTTGCAACGTCGGGAGAGGCAAAAGTTCTCTGTAGGGTGTCGATGATGGCAGACCTATCACCGTTAGCATACTTTCCTTTTCTCCCGGGATCATTCTCAGTGGACTAAACTCACGATATAAAGGTCTTTCCAGCGCCGGCTAACACGAGCAATCAGCATCGAAGAGCAGACGTGGCATGGGGAGAACCACTTACGAGGACCAACACAGTACAATGTCCGGAAAGCGCCAAGCAGCCATTGTTTGTATTGAGGGTTATCGAAGATCCACCGGCAAGTCCCCTGAAGCCGTCGATTGCATAAATCTGCGAGAGTGATGAAATGCTCCGAGGATAATCGACTTGTCATACCAAGGGCATCTTCTTCAAACTGTAGATCAACTTTAGGTCCTAGAACGAGTCAACATCAGTCTCTCACAGAAAGGAGTAACTGACGACATACCAGAATCTACATCCCGGCACATCCTAAGATTATCTCTGATCTCCCTTTCTAGAGAAGTTCGCTCACTATCACATAAATCGATCTGGTTAGCCCACGACCGCCTCACATTAGCATCAAGGACCAAACCAACCACGAATCAGGCTGCATAGACAGCAACAATAGAATTTTGTATTGCTCCAGACGCGGCAGGAACGTGCCACCAAGTAAATACTTTCGGAAATAATATACGCTCACACCCCCCGGCTGAAAATAAAGCTCGACGGCCTTGAGCGTGGAACTGAACCACTCGAGCAGCTCGGTGATTGCACTGAGTCGCGCAGGATGCACGAACCATTTCTCCTCGCCCCAGCTGATCTGGTCTTTAACCCGGTATAGAAGATCTAGGATATCAACCATCACTGAGAGAGTCTTTTGCGACGATTCATGGGTGTCTCTGCCGCTGCTGAGACAGCGGATGACGATGCGTGTGGATTGGGTGATCTGGGCGAGCCCTTCGCGGACAGAGTGGACGGTCACCGTTTCGGTTCCCGTGTTTCGCTCGACATTGCTCTTGTCCATCTCCTCGTCTTCTCTATCGGCGCAATATTCTTGAGTGTAATGACATTGATACAATGAAGTGAATGTGCAGCACAAGTTGGAGACGATGAGGTCGTGGGTGGTGGTTGTTTTTCGGTCAGTTGTGGTTGATGTCAAGTGAGCTCTTCCCTCCTCAGAATTGAAATGAGACCAAATGGGCTTATGGCCAATTAGTCTTAATTTTTTCTAGATTATATTAGCACAATTAAGATCTTGACTATGATAAGGGCCAGTTAGTGTCCATGGTTATCAACTTTGTTAGCTGTTCTGACTTATAACAGCTGGTTCCCCTCCTCTCCCCAGCCGCCGACTGTACATACTGGTGGCTGATCACACACAAAGCTGCGTCTATTGGCTGTACAGGCTGCACTGATATTTTCGGGAATAGAGACCTTGCTCTTAGAAGCTGTGCCTTAACCCATAATAATAATTTCTTCTCTAATGATCTCTCTGCACCAGGTAATGAAGAGCCAGTGTCCAACTTTCTCGGTCCAGTCTTACAGTACTTGCGATAGCACCAACATCTCGTTTAAATTCAAATAGTATCTACCTTATTCCTACAACACACCTTGGAGCTCCAGCAAAACCAAAGCTAACAACCTCTACACTAGCGACCAATCCAAGATTTGAGACCTAATCGAGAATCATCCCATTGTAGAAGCGGGGAACCGCTCGACTTCCCCTGCGGCGTAGTTACGATCAACGCTCGCTGTTTAAGCCCTCCACTCTCCGCCAGCTGTTAAGCGCCGAGCTGGGACGGACACTCTTCCACGCAGCCAATAGCCGCAGAGTTCGTGTATAACTTAGTGACAGGAGCCTGCAGCATGATCACACTCGGTTTGAAGACAAGCCAGTCGTTGATTGCTGAAGCCCGGAAGTGTTGGGTGTTGCGCTGGTTAGCTATCTAAAGTACTGGATCGTCTCTACCATAGAATTCGGTCTCTTCATATCGGTTTGCTAAAGCTAGGATATTTTCTCAGGCTCTAGTTTAGCCCACAGCGTACGGGGTAGATTTTGTTGGGAAAAGAGTTGGTGGTTTGCATATTCACAGTTAGAATTTTTCTCATCCAAACCTATATAGGTATCCATTGCAGAAAAATTCCATGTTAAGCAGTATGAGAACCAGCTCAGACTGCCAACAACATTATGTATGGCCAATACATCAAGCTGAGCGTGAGCCCTTAGCTGACTGAAATGTATCCCTTCTAGCGAATTGTCTGTCCGATGTGTAGACAAAGGAAATAACGCTTGATGTGCGAAATAAAGAACACAGAAATGCCACCAGTTCGTCAAGCAGATTCGTCAAGTCGTAATCTTTGCGTGAAAAATGAATTTGGAAAAAGAGACACCCCTCGAGGGGAGAACAGGGTGTGAAAGAACAACTCAGGGGGTATATTCAAACATATAGGAAAAGGAAGAACATTCATAGAGACTGTGGTAGTCATACATTTAAAGGGGATTACCGTTCAGATTAACGGTAGCTCCACTTTCGCGACCTCGTCGCAGTGCTTTGGCGAGCATCAGCTCTCTCATCCAGTCAATACGCTCATCTCGGGTCTTCACGGCAAAGTGATGCGCCTTGGAACCCTGAGTAAAGATGTTCTTGCGATCGTTGCTCCCATTAGGAGAAGGGATCAGAGAGAAAGCAAAGGCGGTTTCGCCTTGGGTGTTATCCTTGCGCTTCAAGACTGTCTTCTTGAAAGCGGCGGTCAACTTGGAACTGGACGCAAGAGATGAACACGCAACGGCATAGTCATCCACATCAATATATTCAAGAGCCTTCGAGTCACGTCGAGAAGCGTCCTCGTCTGAGTACATAGCTAGCTGAGTACCCCTCAAGGTGAAATGGTGATCCTCCCACTCGTGACGCAGGAGGCGGGTCGTCTTGCGCTTTTTCATCCAACCACTGTGAATGATACCATTGGCGTGGTGACCACCAGGGCTAAAGGGAGTCTTGCAGTGGGCAGCTCGGGGGGTTCGATCAAGATCTTCAGGAGTATCAATAGGCCCGAGAGCCTCGACTTCGTCCAGAGGACAAAGTGCGGTATTGTTCTGGTGAGAAGGCTGTCTGCGATGATTCTCTCCCTTGGTGGATGCCGGCCGTGAAATCGGATCGGGCATGTCATAACCTTGATTGCCAAAGCGCATATTCGGCGGAACTGACTGTGAGCAGTTCCGAGCAACTGGACCCAATGGGATAGCCGTAACAGGGACATCCATCTCGGAAAATGGTGTAGTTTGTCCGTAATGAGGATCTTGCCGATAGTAGTCAGAGGGAGAAGCTATAGAGGAATATGGGTTGGGCGACGTTTGAGGGTTGGGTAGACCAAAGAGCTGCTTTTTGCGCAGAACGGATGGAGTGATGGTACGCTGGGCCGAGTAATTTGGGGACATAGTCAAGCTTGCCAATGAGTTGTGGGTGCTGGGAATCCGAAGCTTAGGAAGATGACGAAGATTCTCGGCGAGACTGGCATTCGCCTTCGCGGAATTAGGCGAATCCGACTCGGGAGAGGGGAAGAACTCCCTGGGTGGAGTGGCAGGATCATTCACTGGCTGAAGTCTGCTCAAGCGTTGGAAATTCAAGAAGTTGCGCACATTCTCCTGGGGATCTCTGGGTCGCACGTCACTGAGCTTCTCCTTGGAGAGCTGAAATTCGGGGGCCTGGTTGGGCCCCAGAACATCGGACGACGCAATAACAGAGGGGGTCACATCTGACTTGGGGGTCTTCGCTATGGCCTGTGCAGTAGCAGCATTGCCTGGATCGCCGGTGACAATTACAGAGCCGCCGATGGAGTCGATTGGGAGCCCCTTGGCTAAGCGAGCCAATTTGGCCTGTTGCTTCTGCCATTTGCGACAGTTCTCTCCCTTAGAACAGGTGTGCATTCGCGGCAACAGTTGCTCAATTGCGACAATGGAGACTGAGTCCTCGGGCACAATATCGGATCCTTGCCGGCGCTTGTGGCGACGACGCTGCTTGTGCTGCTTGTTTCTGGAACCCGGGCGCTCTTCGTCAGTGATGGGGCTTGTACAACAATTGGTACCAACGTCCGCGGCAGTTGTTTGAGGTGTCGAGGTGTCCTCACGAGATGAAGGATCCCATGCGGCCTGAACGTCATTGACAGAAAGCGATGCACTGTTTTTGAGCTGTCGGATGGAGGTCATCAGGCGGTGCCGCTTCCCGAAAGACTGGATATCAAGTTCCTTGAGGTCGTCGGCCTGAAGCTCGAGAAGGATAGCACCAGATATGTCGTTGATGAAGAACTTTTCAACGATACTGTCCTCGAAACCCAGCTGAAGCATCCACATGACGACATCTTGAGGCGACCAGCTTGCGACATTGGTGTTTGAAGGCTCCGAAGTGCGGTCGTTCGACGTTACCGTCTCAGGCCGCGTTTCACTTTTCGTCTGCTTCATAGGGTTCAGTGGGACAGGGGTGTCTCGTCTCTCAGGTTCCAGCTTGGAGGCGGAGCTGTAGAGAGGAGTCGTGGCACTGAGCGGGGCATCTTCCACAATCAGCTCGACTTCCACAGACTGCTCTTTCGAGGGGGTGGAATCGGCCGAAAGTCTGAAAAGATGTGGTCCTACAGGACCAGCCACCGGGTTCTCATCGATGTGAAAATGGAAGCCTGTAAGACCTGTGGAGTCGGGGGTCTTGATGTCATCTGGGGTGGAGGCTGTCGTTACACTGCCAGTAAGCTGATCAATCGCATTAGTCAATTTTACCACCGGCAACTGGCTCATTGTGAAATACTCACAGATCCAGAGCTTCGGTGTCCTGGACCAAAGGAGTAGTCCTCGTAGGAGTCGGACTCAAAATCCGTGTCCAGAATCTCAGTTGTGTCTGAAAGAGGCCGGGGGTATGGCGATTGGGTATGTAGAAGTTTTTCACGAGTTTGAAGCAACTGAAGAGTTGCTTGAGTCGCCGTTTGTGTGGCCTATGAGTACAATTAGCCAATGATCTCTTATACCTTCCAAGAAGTCAATGAAGGCATACCATTTTGAGTGCCAGAAGACGGAAGAGCTAAGGGCTCTGTGGGCCAGCCAACTATCGTCTTCGATTCAACTCAACAGCTGGTATTGCTGAGGAGAGGAGAGAATGGCCACTTTGGTAGACGAGGAAATCCAAAGTATTAGTAGGAGCAGGGAGGGATCGGAGAAAGGACACAGAGTTGCTAGAGAATAAGCGCCCTTGACTCCGGAATTGTGGTAAAATTAGGTTGGATACAGATGGTGAGACTCGAGGCAGGAGGGGGGCGGTTGACAAGTATATGTAAGTATACTGGCGGCAGTCCGAACCTCTTCTGGCGATGAGACAAAAAAAGAACAAGCCACCAGCAGAGAGAAGAGAACGAATGGATGTATCAGTGACTGTATAACGGCCATCGGAGTGGATACCTTCGCAGAAGGAATGTGACGATTTCGGCCTGCAGCTGCATGAAGAGGGGAGCCCCGGAATATGAGGGATTGATGGCATCGTGGACTCTCATTCGCTGCTTTGCAGGAGATTAAAGGGCACCAGTGGTCGAGGAAGCGCCCATCCCGGACTACACCCTTTGGTTGGTTGGGAGCCAAGGTCAAGGCACTTGAGGAAGGGAAGAAATGAACGATGACAGGCTGGGAGGGATGACGCTACTGCTGTGATTACTGATGACAGAAGGCGCTAAGGCAGGATCCCTAGATTTAATCACATTTTCTGCCACTAAATCAACTGATGAGTATCGCAAGAGCGATAAATATAGATACTTGAAGGACAATTAACTCGGATTAAGTTGTGATATCGATGATTAATTGTTCTAGGAATAGTATTTTGCTAAAGATCCGTCACACCCATTTGCGGACGACTTTTCTGTACCCCTCACCTAACTTTCGTGCACAGTAGATTCACAACCATACGTTCATGGAAGCAAGTGACCTTGCTCGGTAGCGTGTTACAGCTTATGATAGTCGGCTCCTCAGTGCCAATCAATATATGCCTCATTTAGGAAAGGTATCAAGGATTGGGTATGGGCTCCCCAAAACGATAGTAACAGCCTCGAACTATTGAATCTTCCTATATAACCTGCCGCACATCCCGTGCGATTAAAATGTTTCTTCAATTTCAGAGACTTCACACGAAGTTAGAAGCAACTAAGAAACGCCAAGGAAAGACTCGAGTCTGATGGGAAGTCCACCTGTCAACTCACCAAACTCGTCTAAGTACCCGATGCACGCAAGAAACCTGGCTGCATCTTATTTTCTTACCTGGTAAATCTACATAGATGCTCCCGTCAAGATTAAGCGAGCGATTACATGGCCGTGGCAAGGTTATATCATGCTTGATCCAGGAGGTTCCAATGACAGGACTTATCACCGTACATAATTCTTCAAGGCCCTCGAGGATGTCGATTGGGGGAAGATATTTTGTCGGTGTGCCAGATTGCGGTATGTACATGCAGGAGAGTTCGAACTGACTCAGGCAGAAACCGACTGCCCAGTTTCTTTTCTTTCCTTCCCCTCCACGATACTACCCTACTTATCAGTCCACAAATTCTCAGCTGATAGTACATGAGACGGGGTAATCTCCCAGAAGATGTTTCTCCAAGACATGGAGCTTGAAGACCTCCACAGGATTTTAGCAGAGATTTAGATCTGGGCGGAGGTGGCTCCTGCTCAGACGGATATTGTTACATCGAACTCGATAGTCTCGGCAGCATACAGATTGCTGGTCATATACACTGTAACCTCGATCTTTGTCCCGTCATGGATAGATTGTTGTCAGGAAACATTTGTTCTGTGAAGCCGAAGAACATCATCCTAGTAATCCCACATTTTCTTTTGTCCTTATGCTACTAGCAATAAGTGCGTCCCAACTTTATCAGACTTTGTCAAGAAGCCTTACATAATGTACTCCGTTTGAGAGTCACAGAGGAATATACGTTCCCTTCAGGAAGATGATGCGTAGCAGGTTTTGATGTTAAATGGAACACTATTCATGGAGCCGATCCGCTGCGTGCACACCGTCTTGCTTGTCGGGATCTAGAAACATGTACAAAGATGCAAGTCACCTGTAACAATCAGGCGAAGGAGCTTCATCAGAAGTCTTCAAACAAAGTCCACATGGCTAATTTGGCCCAAAACACGCGACAAGAGCGTCAAATCCAACCTCACTTTCGCATAAGCTCAATGGGAACGCATTGATCTGAGGCTAAAGTGATCTCAAGTTCGGCGTCTATCTTGTGTCAACAGACGATAAACTTGAATCTATAACCACAGCAATCCTGAAACAAGATTCAAGAGAAGGAGCTTAATGCGAATTTGCTATTGACTACGGAGAGACTTTGCCGACTATCTCGCAGAATGTTGCTAATTATGTAGCTATTCGCGCTGAAGTTGAGTGCAGCAGAGGACCACTTCTAAGAAAGTGTGAGATAACTTAGGTAATCCAGGGCATGAAGTAGCCATATCGAAGATCTATTAATAGTGGAATCAATGGTTAAGTCAACTGAATCATGGCGGTTACAGGAACAATCAATCAATCAAGGTCAAAATCAGTGCAAATTAGTATGAAGTACGTGTTATTGGCACTTGTTACCTCTCACTCTGCGCCTATTTACCTAAATTTCTGTCGTGCTTTGCAAATACTACCGCCAGATTGAGCAATTAAGGAGCATTTCTAATGCAAGCTGGCGGTTAAATGTTGCTAATTAAGGTGATAGTATACAATTTGCGAGATCCACTCCTTCACTAATGGCTGGTCATTATTGGATTGTCCTCAATTTTTGAGCTTGCTTTAGTGTCGCCGCTAAATTGACCGAACCACTGGTGACTGGATCTGATAGCCAATAAAATATCAAAATATAAAGCTTGGCATGCAGCAGCAGCCGCCCGTTCACAGCCGAACAATCTAACATCGTTTCAACAGTCGCTGGATGGCCCTCCAGAAAGAAAAAATGTCTAATATGAAACAGTCAGTGGCCAATAAGCTCGCATTCTCTTTCCGTTTATTTGTTTCCGAATGAAACTGGGACCAGAATATTCCTTACATATGCAATGTTAGCGATATTTGGATACTCTGTATATGCTGGAGGTCATCGTTGCTTGGACTCTAGAGAAGAATGATTGATGAGGATTGATCGCAAGAATGTAGGATCTCTATGTAGCACGGAGACTTAAGCCCGGACCTCGAAAAATGCCATAGAAATGGAGGGCCAATAGACTGTAGGTCTGTCTGCGAGAACGTCACTGAGTAGACTTTACCAACCAGGGTCTCTGCAAATCATATCAAGGTATCATGCTCTATCATCGACTTAGCAGCCGCTGTGCTAGTCGCTAGCTGCAGACCCCAGCGAGGGACCCTGGTCTCCAAGTTTCCAAATTGATACCACCAAATTGGCAACAACCCCAGGCTCAAGTTGGCTAATCTCACCTTTTTTCCCCACTAAGAAAAGTAAATGTTCCCAAATTTAGTCGTTAGTCGCCCTGTCATTCGTTCGCGTGCGTCAGATCTACCCCCGCGGTTCGCAGCCATCATGCAGCTCCTGCTTTTGCTACCGCCTTCATCGTCAAAAAATAGAAGCATCCAAGCATCATAGCTTATCGCATATTGAATCTATAAAGACTTCATCTCCAGAACATATTAAGGCACCATGTCCGGCACCAGCTGGCTCAGTCGCTTATCGGTAGACACCTCGTCTCCTATAGCTTCAAGGTTTGCAACAGCTTCTTTGCAGTGGCATGCGCAGTATATCCAGGGACACCACACAAGTGAGGAACAAACGTAAGAGTTTGACGGAAATCAAACTTTGATCACCTAAAGCGGTACCACTTCGGACAAAGTGCGATTCAGTTCAACAATGTCTGGTGCAAGCGAGCCACTCACACAGTCAAATGTGATCGCGCGGTCAATCAGTACCTTGAGCAATGAAGCTCCAGATACAGAGTCAAAGGGGAAATCGAATGGCAAATTCTTTCGACGTTCGCGTTCCGGTCAGTTTTTGAAGCAGCCTGTCGCATTCCCTGTCGATTTACTAGTGCTGCGGAGACGTTTGAAGTGTGGTGTCACTGATAAGAAGAATGTTCAGGTTGCTACACCTGTCGTCTACGAAGAAAGAAATGTGATGAGGAACATCCTGCTTGCAGGAATTGTACCAACCTGTGCGTCCGTTGCGAGTACAAGCGGCCGGATTGGTGGGCGAGCGCAGAGCAACGGCGCATCCAGAAGGATCGAATCAAGGCCCGAATCAGGCACACGAAAGTGTTGGAAAGGGAGAACAATCTTCAAGGTGGGCATACCTTAGTCGGTTTGAGCGTCGGGCAACTTTTTCTGAACCTGCTCACTCAAGATTTCATCGATCGTCATCTACCGCCTCGAATCGCCGTGGGATATGATTTCAGTCAACCTGTGCTTGTTGATCCACAAAACTTGTACAACCCGCAAACTAGTCAACTGTCCACTCCAAATCTGATGTCGGGGGCTGATGCTTACAATCCATATGATGTTGACTTTGAAACCGAGCAGAAGACCATCCTGAATGGTATACCCCCACAGAGTCATTGGGGGCCACAGCAGCCTCACGCGTCCCTGTTCAATACTACCAGCTATGAATGGCCCCAAGAAAGCTTTCAGCAACCCCAGCACTTTGTCTACCACAATGCCCTGCCACAGGTGATTGAACGCAAGAAAATACCTTTGTCGTCTTACCTGCGAACCTCACATAGGGTCAACGAAAATGACCGAAAATTACTCGTGCACTTCGTCGACAATGTTCTGCAATTAATATTTCCAGTTCTCGATGTCCACCAACAAGGCCCTGCACGCTCACAGGCGATTCTCCACTCGTTGGAGACGAACATGTCCTATTACCATTGTTGCCTGAGCGTTGCCGCGGTTCACCTCAAAGTCAGCAGAAGCCTGATGCCAAATAAGATTGACCACGACATCATGCGACATCGGTACGAAGCAGTGTCTCAACTCTGTAGAGCGCTCAACAGTGACAACGGACATGAGCAAATCTTGGA